CGGTTTCGGTTGTATCCTATTTCGATTCCATCCAAAGTGACGACTTAAATGTTGATAAAATTCATTATTTCGCAAGCAGTATACCCATGGGTTAATTCCCGAGGAAGTGAATGCAACCGCTTCTACCCATAACCACACTGTGTTGTAGTAGGAAAGGAGACCGCAGTAACCGGACTGAGTAAAATAATTTACAAACGATGTGACTAGACTTGGTAACCAGGAGACTACAAACAACCCTACTATTATGAATAGAGTCTTGGAAGCCTTGGTGTTCGTTTTGGCTCTTTTAACCTCAGCTTGGTTATGAGGCAAACTGTTGATATAAATTATTCTGTTCAATTGTCTGTTTGTGGCTTTCAAAATCCGAGCGGAACAAAGCAAAATGATAATCATGGGCACTAAGATAGTAATCACTGAAACTGACATCCATAAGGCCAGATTGCCTGAGCTATCATCTACCAAGAACCTCGAGAAGGGAAGACACAGGGACATAAGCCAAACTATTGCTATTGCTGAAAAACACCTTCTTTTAGAGAGAATGTTTTGGTAGCGTAGAGGATAGAATATAGCAACATTTCGATCCAGACTGACACACAATAAGTTAAATGTAGTAGCCACCGTTGTGTGAATCCAAAGGAAGTCAATAGCTTCGCCATAGTTTTGCACATCCGTGTACCAACATCTGAGAACGATCCACACTGGAGCTATAACTAGTCCTACTAAAAGGTCCGCTACCGCCAGCGAGGATATAAAAAAGTTCGAAGTGGTTCTCAACGAAGGAATTCTATATATTAAACACAGTACAACTGCGTTACCAGTCATGGCTGCCATTCCTGCGAGTCCATACCAAGTGGATAAAATTATCTTCTCCGCCAACGTGAACGCTGGAAGCCCATTTTCACATGTGCTTACGTTGATCATGCTAGCTCACTGAGTTAGTTGATGTTACTGTATGGAATCAATATTAAGCTGAAATTACATCTTTTTTATCCGAAAATAATCAAAAATCAGTACATAAGCTCTTTTTAAGAACAAAAAAATCTGTGTAACAGTCAAACTTTTTCAAGGCAAGTTCAATATCGTAAAATATTTTTAACCGCACTTACCTTGTAATTCGTGGTTGCGCTAACCGTTATTTACCCAAGATCCGGTGTTTACTTCAAAAGGCACTTTTTTGATTTCTCTGAGGACTTCTCGAATATGATTAACTTACATTAGTTAGCCGACTTTAACGTCTGAGACCATTGGACAACCGTTAGATATTTTTCTTTTTTAACTTAGCTAGATTTAAATGATGGCTACTTTTTCGATCGGGATGCAAACCCATTATTACAATTTAGCATCTGGTTTGCAGCTGCTTTGCTTGAGACTCGACAAGTTTCTTATCTTTGTCAAAAATTAATAATTTACTTTTTTTTTCAGTCATTAATGCTGTCTGATGTTGTGGTTGTCACATTATGTCACGGCAGTTTACAGAGCAAAGTATATTAATAACTCAGTAGATGTTACAAGTTTTAGCTGAATCATAAGCTGAAGTGCAGCTAGTAAACACCGGGCACTAACTACATCATAACTTATGACCGTAACCCTATTAATATAGAGACGATAATTTTGCACCTTAATAATGGTACCATATGCAACAACAATCAAACCGCCGTAAATTGAGTGAATGAATAGAAATGAGAGTTCAAATTAAATCTAATTAATGAAAGTACGATGTGCCTCCAACAGCCAAATAGTATTTCCCACCGGCTGGATGCGGATTATGAGTTGTAGATGGCGCCAGAGAATCATAGTGTCGATAAACCAATGCGCCACACTGGGAAATGATATAATTGAGAGGCAAGGTTTCGCAGCGAGCCTCTAAAAACATATTTAAAACTAATACATCCAAACAAGCAAAATTATCAGCGTTTTCTTAACTAAGGTTTCTTTCTTTCCTATTCCTTTTATCTGTCACATTCTAGACTAGACTGTGACAGAAAGTTTTAATCCTCTTAATATAGATGTATATAGAGAGGCCCTGCCAGGGGGGGCTCCCATGTCGTTCGTCTGAATTTTAAAACGTCTCGTGTCGGTGTTTATTAATGCTTCACGTCGCTGTCGGAAATTGAACGAATATTTTTTGTCTTTGTCGGAATTTTAGCAATTAAAAGGGGGATAGCGATGCGTTGTAAAGAAACCATTACAGTTGTGCAATTTCTCAGTTAAGTTTCGCGTATAGAACACCTATACATCACCATTCACAATTAAGGGTGTGTTCCTTTCGGTGAATCCAAAAACGGATTTTCGATCTTAAAATGGATTTCGCGTTCCTTTCGGCAAATCCAAATTCGGATTTTTGATCTGGTGAATCCTTTTTGAAAAAGGATTCACAGTGGATTTGAAATCCGAAGAATCCGAATCCAGATTAACGGATTAGTGATCTACGCTGTTCCATTCACAGTGGATTCGAAATTAGTCAGGTGACCCAGCTGTATTCCCAGTTGAAGTATTCCCGTAGAGTTTCCTAACTACTGCCATTTGCCGTAAAACATCTGAAAACACTAGAAGATTGTTCATAGTGGTACAGTAAAATATCCATGTGCTGACCATTTGTCGCTAAAGATTGCTTAAAAACACAAATAAGTAAAGGGACAAATAACTGCTATCTTTCTACAAACTCGCTTGTGGACGCGATAGGCACTCGATCGTGTTACATAAAAAACCGAGCTACGAAACTGGATCAAACTGAGCCGACAACCTTTAGTAAATTTTCAACTTTAACCCTCTCCTTTCTTGATCTGTTTATGCCCCATCGTCGTTATTCGAACTGCCGACCACAAAATTCTGCACGGTATAATCGCATAATTAAACATGGCATTTCTTTAGAGGCTCAGGCTCTCATGCATATTGCACGCGTTTGCGAAAGGTTACCAAGATCACGAATCAAATTTCGGATTTCACGTTCCTTTCGACCGCGAAATCCGGCAAATCTCGGATCAGAAATCTGTTTTTGAATTCGCTTAAAGGAACACTGTCAACACACCCTAAGTGATCCACGTTCAACATTTTTTAAAATGTTGAACGTGATAAATCGTACGTGAAGGCCGGTTAACGGTGTTCTACTCTGTGAGAGCGGTTGGAAGGTCGGTGGTTAGGTTGCCTGGTCCCTGGTCTCTCCACCGTCGTCACCGTCCGACAGAGGTCGACAGGGATGTGAGAAGTTCAGGAAAAAGCAAAGTATTCACCATTTTCACACAGACCATAAAGCATCTTGTTTACCCCCCAAAACTTGGCATAACCATTGTTTTCGATTTCTCTTGGAATGACTCAATTAAAAATACCCTGGAGAATTTGGAAACAATGGTTATGCAAAATTCTGAGGGGGAAAACAAGGTGCATTATGGTCTGTATGAAAGTAGTGATTACAAGAGATGTAAAGTGTGCGCAAAATTAAGCTATTTGACGGACAACCTAGTTCCAAGGTCTCCAGGAGTTGTGCGGGGTTACGTAAATGAAGACTACGCGACGGGCCAACGCGACGCGCTCAGGAGAGTCCACTGAGACTCTTTGACGAGAGAATCTCTGAAGCGCAAGGAGAATTGACGAACATTACTTCTTTTTGGCATGCAGACTGGTGATAAATTAGCCAAACCACCGTTCTTTGTCGCATATTCTCGGCTTTGCCGTCACTGTCGCAATTTGGTCGAAGGAGGTTGTCGCTTGTCGCGATTTCATTTTAGGCTCTGTCGCTACTTTTTGGGTCATGTCGCTTGTCGGAATTTACCCTGGCAGGGCCTCTATAGACGTGACTGGCTTTTCGAACGAAGGCAGGTGTTGTTCTAAAAAAAAACCAAAAACTAAAAACAAAGCACCGGGTGCCAGTAAAACGCGGGGTCGGGCCGGGGTCCGGGGTCTATATTTTTGTTTTTAAAAGAATGCTATTTTAGGGGTAGGTTAGGGTTAGGGTTCGTGTCAACCATAACCCAAACGCTAACCCTAAAACAGCATTCTTTTTTTTTTTAAAAAAAGATAAACCCCGGACCCCGGCCCCAACCCCGCGTTTTACTGACACCCAGCAACACCTCATGCCAGTCAGTGTGGGTTATAACTATTTGAACTAAAACAAATTAAATCTTGCAAACTGTTTGGAGTTTACACAGAAACCCACAAGGGGTTGAAACGTGTAACTCTCATATGTTTGCTTTGTCCGATGCTCATGAGCATTCATTTTCGAAAGTACCATATTTGGAACGAGAAGAAAAGATAACCAGCCAATCAAACTTTGTAAACGACGTGACGTAATTTCACCTCACGTTGTATGTTCCCGCGTCTGGTTTAAAAGATGGCCGACAAAAGAGGGAAAAAAACTCCCCAAAGACGAGTAAGCTTTCAAAGGTTGAAACCAGGAAGCCTACCGAAATACTGAGAGGGAAATTGACTTACCAACCGGACCAAACGTAACATTATGAAACCAACTGTATGACGAAAGTGCGACTTCCCGAAGTTGTCACTTCAAAAAAAGATACCTCGGTGATCCTCTGCGCGCGCAGTATTAAAACCTATTCTGCAAAAAGGCTTTTAAAGTTTTCATATTAAAAGTCTAGAATTAATATTAAAACATATTTTCGAATAAAATTCATTAGCTGCGTATCGAAAAGTATCTTAAAACTGAACCTAACATCTTCGCAAAAGTGATGCGTTTAATGAATGTGAGAAGCATTAAACTTTAATCAGCTAGCTTGGATGCTGTACAAATAAACACGATCGTGTTTTGAGCTAATTGTATGAATGAAAAAACTCAAAACAATAGTACGAGAAGCCGTTTCTTGAAAATTTTTATTCAAAATCCAAACAGTTAATCCTTTAAAGCAATTCACAGAACACTATCTGGATCGTGGATGGCAAATTCAACACAAAATCGTTCTCAAATCGCGGCGCATTTTGTAATTTTTCTTTAGCGCCGAAAAGAAAAATGTATAAACGTCTATGAAAAATTTAAGAATACATAATTACCTTTCTAAAACGTAATTTTCGTGGCCATAGAGTGCAAAATGTACCTGAAAATTCAGCAAAAACTTCGCTGCCTGGTTGCATTTCAAAACCGACCATGCGCTCAGCTGTAAAGAGAAAACTCCATAGACGATTTCTTTACGAAAAGCTTCCCTTCCTCTACAAAAAGAAAACTGAGCATTCTTTTTAACGCTCTCCTTCCACTTTTTGTCTTTTAACGGTGCATTTTTAACCTTGAAATGCAGAACTCTTGTTACAACACCCCTCACAAAAGTGAATATTCACGAGCATTGAACGCGAGTTACACGTTTCAACCCCTTATGAGTTTCTGGTTTACATCAATGAACATCTTAAGAGCCATTTTCTGAGAAAATCGAGAATCGCAAGGCACTCGTCAAAAAACTGAATTTTTTAGCGGGGCTCTCACGCGCGCGAAGCCTGCGTGGGACAGAGCCCCATACCCATAGATTATGGTCAACTTCTTTTCCTTTGGTTGTCACGTGATTGACCGAGCGTACGTACGTACGTACGCGTCTACGGATTGTACAGGTGGGATAGGGGAGACTATCAAAAGGAAGGGAGGGGTGTCTTAGGCGTGTCTTGCCAAGTCCACATCTATTACATTGGACATTCACAATATGGTCAATTGACAGCTGTCAAAACAGGATAGCCACTGACCAGTATCCCATGACCATATCGCGGGCTCATGTGTCAACTCATTGAGGTGACGTGATTTATTTGGAAGCTGTCCGCTGACCAGTTAATTATTTTACTAGATCGCGACCAATGTTCAGTCTCATACTTTCTAGCTAGTTTGAGATCGGAGCACAGGAAAACTGATACACGTCAATGTTGTGATCCATTGACAGCTGTCAAAACAAGGTAACCGCTGACCAGTATCACTTGACTGTATCGCGGGCTCAGGTGTCGACCCATTGAGGTCGGTACGTATTTCATGTATCGGGACATATATTGTACCGCTTTTACCTAATTAACTTATAACTTCACTCTTTCTGCTTGGTTCCTTGTTGCCTTGAAGCTTTGTTCTCTGTTAACTTGTTGCTCTGTTTCCTTGTTTCCTAGTTACTCTGTTTCCTAGTTACTCTGTTTCCTTGTTTCCTTGTACCTTGTTACTCTGTTTCCTAGTTACTCTGATTCCTTGTTTCCTTGTTACCTTGTTACTCTGTTTCCTAGTTACTCTGTTTCCTTGTTACTCTGTTACCTTGTTACCCTGTTACTCTGTTTCCTAGTTACTCTGTTTCCTTGTTTCCTTGTTACCTTGTCACTCCGTTACCTTGTTACCTTGTTACTCTGTTACCTTGTTACCTTGTTACCTTGTTACTCTGTTACCTTGTTACCTTGTTACTCTGTTACCTAGTAACTCTGTTACCTTGTTACCTTGTTACGCTGTTACCTTGTTACCTTGTCACTCTGTTACCTTGTGACCTTGTTACCTAGTTACTCTGTTACCTTGTTACTCTGTTACCTTATTACCTTGTTACTCTGTTACCTTGTTACCTTGTTACTCTGTTACCTTGTTACCTTGTTACTTTGTTACTCTGTTACCTTGTTACCTTGTTACTCTGTTACCTTGTTACTCTGTTACTTTGCTACCTTGTTACTCTGTTACCTTGTTACCTTGTTACCTTGTTACTCTGTTACCTTGTTACCTTGTTACCTCGTTACTCTGTTACCTTGTTACTCTTTTACCTTGTTACCTTGTTACTCTGTTACCTTGTTACTCTGTTACCCTGTTGTCTAAATTTTAGTTTATTTTTGTATGACAAGTCGCAATTGGTTTTTCCCGATTGGATGCGTTCTTTTGGAGTATGTTCGTGGTTGAATGGTTTGCATTACAATTCGTTTTTCGTTTACGGTAATTAGCAGCAATCAGCTTTATTTGATACATTTTTTCTCTTTGACGGAAATCAAACAAAAGTTTCCTTTTTTGAGAACAGCGTTTGGACAATGACTAAGGCTCTGTGTCTCAATGCTATAGCACCTGAAGCCTTTTATAGTTTCTTTTGGCTGTTGTACTTTTATCATGATTTTCCAAAAAATGTAAGCGAAATTTCTGGGCAATATTTTTACGATCAGATATTTTGCATAAAACGCTTAGTCTTAAGGCGCCCTTTTAAAATGAGTTAACAACGGGGCAGGGTGCTACAACGGGTATAACGTTTGGATACTTTTAGTCAATACCACACAAGTGAGGCTGAAGTTTTATTGCATTCGTTTTTTAATCATACCTTATCTGTTATCGAGATAATCGTTGAAAATCGCACAACACGAGGAAATCGAGTAACTAATGTAGATCAGTTCAGTTTTGCAATAAATACCAGATAACTCCAAGCTGGTTTCCTCCATCTAGCGATTTAGTGTTCAAGTTTTTTTGAGACTTCCAGAGGTCAGTTGTACAAACCCTAACGTCAGACTTAACTGCCAACTCTTTTATCATTGTTATCATTATCATCCGTCGATCATTAGAAAGTATTAAACAGGTTGTCCAGCAGCTGCATGAATTGTTAGTTCTTACTTTTATAACAAGCAGAGTAGCGTATTGCGATAGCCTATTATATAGTTTCCTTAATTCGCAAGTAATAAAAACGCTGCTGTCGCTAGTATAGGTCACCGACACACATAGATTTTGATGGCGATACACCTTCGCTGTTCCAACTTCACTGCCTGCGACTACCTATCAAGTCTATCACGGTATTCTTTGACGTATCTACACAACTTCTACCACTGATCTAGTAATAGTCCCGCCCATCTTGCTAGCAAATTCTTCTCGCAATTTTAACTAAAAAGATTTAAAGAAAATTGCTTGGTGTGTAAAAAGATTGAGTAACAAATATGGCAAAAATTGCAAAAATAACAAATTTAACAAAATTCTAGACTTAGAAAGAAGAAAGGCCTAGAAGGACTTCGAGAAGTCCGCAAATTTCGCAAAGATCGCAAAATTAACAAGAATTTTTCTTGCTATGTGAAAAGATTAAGACAATGAAGGGCCACGAGAAGGCCCCAAATTTTCCCATAAATCGAAAAAAAAAAGAATTTGTGAAAAGAATTCACCTTCTTGGCCTTTTCTCTCTCTAAGTTTAGAATTTATTTAGTTTTTTTATTCTTGCTTTTGCGATATTTCAAGTACTCAATCTCTTCACATAGCAAGAAAAATCCTTGTTAGTTTTGCGATTTTTGCGAGATTTGAGTGCTTTTGGAGGCCCTTCTTGGCCATTTTTCTTTGTTAGTCTAGAATTTTTTAAATTTGTCATTCTTGCTATTTTTGCGATATTTCTTACCTTTTCAGTGTTTTTAGGTAGCAGGAAAAATCCTTGTTACTTTTGCGATTTTTTTTTGCGAAGTCTAGAATTTTGTTTTATTGGTTTTTCTACTCATGCGATATTTGCAGGTGATTGTCTCACAAAATTTTCGGTGAATTATTTTCTTTGCGAAAATTGCGGAGAGAATTTGCTAATAACATCGTTCCTGGACACATATATCGCATTTTTTTTTCTTTTACAGTTCTTTACGCACTGCCACGCCATACCCTACAAACCGTCAAACAAGGCCGCGGGGGAAGTTAAACATTACCACAATCTGGTACTGACGGACCCCGGCGTCCTAGGCATCTCAATAGCAAGTGCGGTTTAACTCTGACAAGTGTGCATGTGACGTATTACGTCTACACACATTCCTAGATATCTCGAGGTAATAGGTAACAGAGTAACAAGGTAACAAAGCAACAAGGTAACAGACTAACGAGGTAAAACAAAGTAACAAGAAAACAGAGTAACAAGGTAACAGACTAACAGATTAACAAAGTAACAAGGGAACAAGGTAACAGAGTAACACGGTAACAAGGTAACAGAGTAACACGGCAACAAGATAACAGAGTAGCAAGGTAACAAGGCAACAGATAGCCTGAGATCATGCCCTCTCCCTATTATCCCTTTATGTCTCTCACGGGAAGAGGGCATGATACATTTCTTTGTCGGATCACATGTAAAAAAGCCAGAATCTGGACTTTTTTCTGATTGGATAGGAAACAATATGGATGATTTGCGCTGTTCCGATTGGCCAAAATGCCGACATCCGTTAGTTGTTGTGGATTTCAGTCTGCATTTTTGCTTGCGAAATGAGCAGTGAATACACACGCGGGTTCGTTTTGAAATTTCTGCCGGCTCAGTTTTTTTGAATTTGAAGAATGCCTAAATAGAAATTTCATCCATTGAAATATTTTCCATCTCATCGTATACTAAAAAGTTGCAGTCAAAAATTCACCGATCATTTGAATGCAATTTGATACCGGCTACAAGATACAGAGGCGACAAACGGGTTCACTTTTTAAATAATCAATTCATGAATGGAATCTTGACCAGGTTTGACTGTAATTCCTCCTTCAGAAGCCTGCGATTTATTCTGAGCGATCGTCGCTTTCACAACACTTTTCAGTTCGTGAAATATAGTGCTTCAGCCTAATTTTTTTTCACTGCTTTCAGCACAGAACGAAGTCAACGAGCTTTTGCCAGTAAATTCTTTATTATTTGTAGCTGTTGAAGGTACGGCAACTTCAGCAAGCAGTATTTCATCAGAAAAACAACACATTTAAAAATTTTTTTTAGGAAGCGCCATCTGAACTCTTTTCCCTAAAACTGATTTCAAAAGAGACATTATATTATTCGCGCCAAAATTTGATTCCCGTCTTGTAAACGCTGATTGGCTAATAACATGACAGGTCAAGCAGACGTTAGACTATGTAAATTAGGAGGCGGTTGACGGCTTGTTAAATAAATGTATCAGGCGTTATTTTTTTCCCCTCGAGGCAAAGAAGCAAAGAAGCAAACAAAGAAAAAATAATGAAAAAAAACGCCTGATCTCAGGTTAGGCAACAGAGAAATAAGGTAACACGGTAACATAGTAACAAGGTAACAGGGAAATAAGGTAACAAGGTAACAGGCTAATAAGGTAACAGGATAACAAGATAACAAAGTAACAATGTAACAAGGTAACAAGGTAACAAGGTAACAAGGTAACAAGGTAACAAGGTAACAAGGTAACATGGTAACAAGGAAACAAAGTAATAAGGTAACAGAGTAACAAGGTAACAAGGTAACAGAGTAACAAGGTAAAAAGGTAACAAGGTAACAGAGTAACAAGGTAACAAGGTAACAAGGTAACAGAGTGACAAGCTAACAAGGTAACAGAGTAACAAGGTAACAAAGTAACAGAGTAACAAGGTTACAAGGCAACAGAGTAACAAGGTAACAAGGTAACAAGGTAACAAGGTAACAGAGTAACAAGGTAAAAAGGTAACAAGGTAAAAAGGTAACAAGGTAACAACAAGGTAACAGAGTAACAAGGTAACAAGGTAACAGAGTAACAAGGTAACAAGGTAACGGAGTAACAAGGTAACAAGGTAACAGAGTAACAAGGTAACAGAGTAACAAGGTGACAAGGTAACAAGGTAACAAGGTAACAGGGTAACAAGGTTACAAGGTAACAGAGCAACAGGGTAACAAGGTAACGGAGTAACAAGGTAACAAGATAACAGAGTAACAAGGTAACAGAGTAACAAGGTGACAAGGTAACAAGGTAACAAGGTAACAGGGTAACAAGGTAACAAGGTAACAAGGTAACAAGGTAACAGAGTAACAAGGTAACAAGGTAACAAGGTAACAGAGTGACACGATAACAAGGTAACAGAGTAATAAGGTAACAAGGTAACAGAGTAACAAGGTAACAAGGTAACAAGGTAACAGAGTAACAAGGTAAACAGAGTAACAAGGTAACAGAGTAACAAGGTGACAAGGTAACAAGGTAACAAGGTAACAGAGTAACAAGGTAACAAGGTAACAGAGCAACAAGGTAACAAGGTAACAGAGTAACAAGGTAACAAGGTAACAGAGTAATAAGGTAACAAGGTAACAGAGTAACAAGGTAACAAGGTAACAGAGTAACAAGGTAACAAGGTAACAGAGTAACAAGGTAACAAGTTAACAGAGTAACAAGGTAACAGAGTAACAAGGTAACAAGGTAACAGAGTAACAAGGTAACAAGGTAACAAGGTAACAAGGTAACAGAGTAACAAGGTAACATGGTAACAAGATAACAGAGTAACAAGGTAACAAGGTAACAGAGTAACAAGGTAACAAGGTAACAGAGTAACAAGGTAACAAGGTAACAAGGAAACAGAGTAACAAGGTAACAAGGTAACAAGGTAACAAGGTAACAGAGTAACAGGGTAACAAGGTAACAAGGTAACAAGGTAACAGAGTAACAAGGTAACAAGGTAACAAGGTAACAAGGTAACAGAGTAACAAGGTACAAGGAAACAACGAAACAGAGTAACTAGGAAACAAGGAAACAGAGCAACAAGTTAACAGAGAACAAAGCTTCAAGGCAACAAGGAACCAAGCAGAAAGAGTGAAGTTATAAGTTAATTAGGTAAAAGCGGTACAATATATGTTCCCTTATATGAAGTACCTACCGAGAGGTCAAGTGTTTTTTTTGATTTTATCCACTGACAAGGTACTGGTTTTCAAATGTTCGCAGGCTCAAGTTTAATTTTGTTAAAAATTCATATGAAATATGTTGTGTTTATATGCCGCATAATTAGAATTTTGATTTTAAACTGACCTCGATCTCGGACGCGAAAATTCAGCCAGCTGCTACATGCAGGGAAGACAGTTGCTTTTGACTTTTCTCGCCATGTTCACGCGTTGGTCACGCTCTACGTCCAATTTTTATGCTCTGATTGGTCAAAATTTGACAGGTGAGTTCATGCGGAAAATTTATGCAGCATCTTGAATCTTGTTTACTTTGACAGCTGAAGCTGACAGAGTTTTGTGTCAACTTGTGATGTTTTTAACTTTCTTTTTCCACTGGATGTAGCTGCTATCAGGAGTCTTCTGTTATTCATGGCTAGTTTGTTTATTGGGTTTTTGGTTGAGTCAAAGTCGGAAATCCGATTTCGGATGGCATCGTTTTCGATTTCATCTTGCTTAATGCCAGCCTCGTACCCAGGCCTGTTCGCGCTATCCGAGTGACCAGAGGAGGCTTGGAACCGAGCGCGATAGCGCGAGGCCTGGCAAAAAATGGCAAAAAAGTCCCAGATCGACGAGAAAAAGTCCCAGATAATTTCTCGACGAAAATCCTTTGTTTTCTGCGACGATCACGGAATATTTCGGACTCATGAGATTAATACATCTCTTCCGAGCATCTTTGGACCGTTTCAACTGATAGCAACGAAATGTGGCGGGCATGTTTTCCCAAAAACACTGGTAAGTTAAGCATATTGTTTACAGTCTTGTTCGCTACACGAAGCTAGCAAAAAGTTTCTTCGTAGTTCGGCATGGGACGATCGCTGTACACTGTATGTACACTAGTATCAAAGGCTTCATTTTCATTCAACAAAATGGGCGTTGATTTTAGTTACAGGGCTACAGTGGGCTTATTTTGCCTTTGTTGTTCGAATCGTTGGTAGGAAAAAATCACGAGAATCATTTACACGGTTTCGCGCGAAAAGCCAAAAAAAAAAACACTACATGCCATTTTCAGCTGTTTGAATATGCTTTTTGCTCTTTATAATAACCTAGTACCTTGAACTTGTACCTTGCAGCTCCCAGTTCATGCAGAACATTCTAATAGTCTATTTTGAAAATAGCACCAGTAACTCATGTAATATTCGGGTGTCTTAGTTTTACCTGATTTTTAATGATATGACTATCATTCAGTCCTTTATATGGTTGCGACTTAGAGCGATTTTACTTGACCCATGAAACATTTAATAACAACTACTGCAAAATATAGCTACAAATAAACAAAAGAAGACAATAGAATTAGTGCATAATAGTGCTTAGTATTCTACTTCCTGTTTCATGCGTTAAGTAAAATCACTCTGAAGGAGGTTGCAATTTTAGAGATGGGAAAATTTTGGATAGTTGACATTTAATCTTAATTTACCTGCCTGACAGGCATAATTTCTGAGCAAGGTATTGTACATCAAATGTTTAGTTTTTTATTATATATTGTCTATTTTTTTACCTTCCTTTACATTAATTTTCAGAAAGTTTTAAAGGGGATGAAAGGAGAACATGTAATAGACGTCACTGGGGATGCGAAGGATACAGGAGCAAAAGGAAAATGTAATTCAGCTGAAGAAAACTTGAAATGAAAATAAAAATATGAAACTGTGATGTTAATATTGAATTTCTTAGATTTCATCAAACAAAACGTTATTGATTTTATAAGGAAATTAGATTGATTTCCTAGCAAGCCACAGTTCTGAACACTAATGTGAAATTTGTTAAGAGAAATTTTTTAAACCTGATAACAACTACTTCTTGTCTTGTAAAAGAAATGGGAATGGAAATGGGTTGGGGAAACAAATTCAAGACCAACTTAAGACCTTTTTCCACTTAATTTGATGCCATAATGGTACCATTGGCTGGGCCAGCTACATTGCCATTTTCAGCTGTTTGAATATGCTTTTTGCTCTTTATAATACCCTAGTGCCTTGAACTTGTATCTTGCAGCTGCTAGTTTATATATGCAGAACATTCTAATATTGTCTATTTTGAAAATAGTACCTAACACTAATGTAAAATTCTTTTTAAACTTATGACTCACTGGAAGACCACTGCTGCGAAAGTGGTTCGAGATAAAAAAAGAAAACAGAAAAAAAAGGAAAGCACTTAATTTGAGTGTCAATGTATTCAGCACGAAAGTAATAATTGGGGACACTATTTTTATGTCTACTACCGCCATTTTACGTGGTCATGCATCTGAGCCACGCAAAGGTCTAGCCATTTGCAGCAGGGCAAAGGTAATACCTTCACTTCTCAGTCATTTTAAGATCCTTAGTATTGGTCCGACCCCAGGAATTGAACTTCTGACCTCCCACTCTGCAGTCAAGCACTCTACCAACTGAGCTAATCCCACCACGGTTGAGATTAAGTTTACATAAGATAGTAGTACAGTGGAACATAGATGTGGGGTCGTGCAACATCAACAACAATAGAATCAGACATTGATAGAATCAGAAAGAAAGCTTGGCTGAAAGTTTTCAACAGTCCCCAAAGGATCATCTCATTTAAATGGTGGGTAGATACAGTGGTTGAAGATAACTTGGATATGGAATTAAATTTTATTCATGCTAAATGCTTTAAAAGCATGGACACAAAGTGTTTTACATCTGATGCCGTTTCAGGATATTTGAACGCTCCTGATGTTACTCAGTATGTTGTAAACTGCCCCTATAGCTTGTATCTGCCACATTGAGGCGTATTCAAAAGGCTGACAGCACTTTATGACTTCTGTTTTGTATATTTAATGGACAAAAGCAGCGTCTATGAGTTGATCCACTATCGTTTAGGACGACACCTAGTCTAAGTCTCTCTTGAATTGCAATGCGCGCAGTGCTGCTATTCGATTCACAAGTTTTTCATCCGCTAGATAATATGCTGAGTACAGAGCTAATTCGATGACACATCTTTCACGAACTTCAACATGGTTTAACTCATAACCGACAGGCAATGGAACACACTCCTGAGATGGGACGATTTGTTGCGCTGAATTAAATCCATATTTTTTGATACAATCAAAACTCGAAATTACTGACCTACGATAATAACAGGTGTACACGCGGAACGATTCCTTGAAAGAAATTTCTCCAACATCTCTATGTATTTGATGGCAAACGTTTATTCAAGAATCCCAACCTATTTCCGACGCTTTTTTTCATTTCCTCAAGAATCTTGGCTGAAGTCGCATTCTTGGCTAGACGCCGCCATTTTGGATTTGCCATTATTTGCCAGGCGTCCTAGGCGAATTTTCCCGACAAGCTTGACAGGTGACGTCACATCCGAAATCGCCGAGGACGACTGGGAACGAGGCTGGGTTAATGCGTAAGAGGGTTGCAAAGTCTGAAGCGATACAGGCGTTACTTGATATCTTTCAGGAGCTGCATCTCGAGTGGTAAGCCTAAGTAATTATTGTATTTGATGTTTGTTTTTTATTCCTAATTTAATGAAGTCGAGCGTAGTTGATGCGGCTACACGTTTGTAAGATTTGAGACAATGATCTGACCGAGTATCAGGTTTGTTATAAGCTTACAGATCTTTAAAAAGCCTTCAAAGAATATTTAGTTATAATTCTGGCTGTAAAAGAAAGGTTTGAGCGATTTTCTTGCCTCGAGTTCGTCTTTGAAAAAAGCAAACACCGGGAAGCCGGCTTAAAACATAAACTTCAGCTTTAAGCTCGAAGACTCAGGATTTTAAGAGACACTTTAATACTTGTCTTCCTGAATGAAAATATTCGTCTCTGTATAAGTTTTACCGAAATATATTTGTTTTATTGATTGTTAGTACTCTGTCTTGTAATTTTAATCGTTGTGCCGATTGTTTTCAGTCGTTCAGTAAACAACGCTTCCCGGAGTACTCAAAATGCCGCGCGTTAAACCGTTTTAAAATAAAAAAATATACATAATAAATTATTTATTATGTTGAAGCTTAACTCTGTTAACACTCGCCACTGCTAGCACTGTAAAAGTCAGAACCGGCTGGCCGTATAGATGATTTTGAAAATTTTTTCAACGGTTTACGGCTAAAGCCCACGCGTGCTTCGATCGTCCTGAATAGCAATTTTTATCGCAGTATTGTGAAATACTGCAATCTGTTGTCTGAAGTCTGTACGATAAAAACAGTGCCTCATAGTACTGTTTCACCTCAGATGTGATGTATAAATGATATAAAAGGTTGGTTTACACGCACCCAGATTTGTTGGCAAGATTTTGTAAACTAAACTTGTCGAACGCAAAAATTCGGCCGGAATTTTTTTTCCAGGCCTAATTAATCTACGGTGATCAAGAGCCATTATGGCTCGTAATAAATGTGATCGAAGATGATTGCCAGTTTTTGGGTGTACTTATGAGGCTATCAACTCGATGTGAGATTTGGTTCACTCTTGGGCTGTTTGCAAATTATTTTTTGTAAAATTACTTAGCCTTTCCCTGAAAAGTCACACGAATGTGCTCTAAAGTTAACTAATTGTGGAATACAAGTTTATTGTTTGATTTAAATTATAAATTTATTAATGGG